GCCGGTGTGAGTCGGGCTTTAGTTCTAAGGACATGGTTATCCGAACCTCAAGATTTAGTTACACCTGACGACGGCCTGACAGCGAACTGGCCGAAACGCTGCGTACATACCAACGTACCAGATGAGGACGGCGAGAGTCCGACGAGTTAACCCATCTGAGTTCGATGTCTTTTACAGTTCAACTGTGGATGCTCCAGTTGGTCCAGTGGGTGACGCTTCAGCAAACTTAGCCCTGCCTCAGCGACCCGTACCCTGTGCCAGTGGTTACGCCCGTGCTCCAACAAGCGAGGTGATGCCCCAGTGAGCTGGACCGTGTCCCGCGAGCTGAACACCGACACAAGCTCCTCTATTCAAGGCTGCCGATCTGGACCGGCTTCACTCCGGTGCGATGGAAGATCGCTGCGATGCTCTCCATACCGCTGCTGTGCATGATCGTCTTCACCCACGACACCCAACCCAACTCGGTGAGTGGACACACAAGACCGTGCCTCTATCTGTTTCGAGGAGCCTTCAGTCGCGAGAGCGGCTTACAATCTTATAAAAAATATAGCATTATAGCATTCAGCAGACGCCACCACGCATCGACGCTTACTCCGGGACGCGCTTTCAAGATCACGGATTGCATCGTGGTACTTCATACATGAAAGGGAGCGTTCCACATTTGCATGGGCGTTTGAACTGAAATAACCACCTTGAAGACCATTCGGTGCAGTTTACAGCCGTGCCCTTCTCAGGACCCGTACCCCTCTTGTTTCTGAGCTATACACCCGCGAAGATGTGCAGACTTTCCGTGCAGATTATTTCAAGGTCACCCAGGTATCCATGATGCCGTAATAAGTTGACTCAAGCATAATAAGTTATAAGTTAAGTAGTCATAATAAGTTAATAAGTTAATTTCATTGGCCACGCGGCGGGAAGGCCAAGAAAAATATAATTGTTGAGTCGTTCATATCTCGCATTCGTGAGCACGATTTCCAGATGCAACGGCCGCCAAATGGCTGTCAATCAGTGTTATGCAAGGTACGATGGCGTATTTATACGATGACGTATTGAGCGGTATATTTATGAAAAGAGAAACCGTGTTGTCAACAGTAGTTTTCTCCGCCTCGAAGTATACATTAGTTACGTGAGCGTGTCTCATGCTGGTTTCAACATCTTCAAACGCAGAATACTTCCTTTAAATAATATGCACTTGTGACTCAATCCACTTAGACCGATCTGCATCTGACGCGCTCGCACGGTGATTCGAATCGATCTTTTCAAGAAACTACTAAATATCTCCTACAGATGCATCAAGCACGCGAATGCAAATCTTAGATGTGCACCAGGCCCCCTACAACGAGGCAGTGACATTTGTCATATCATTTTCCGCCAGTAGGGGCCGACTACCGACAGCCTTCCTGCGTCAGGAATGCCGAAAATACAACACTTGTCTAAACGTTGCTGTTCATAAGCCGTATGGTTTGGGAATATTGTTGAAACCGGTACCGCCTAAGATGTGCATGTGATCGCAACCATAGACGGATTTAGGCCTTCAGAAGGCCAGGGCTGTGAACTGCACTGCATGATGTTTACGATGGCTTTTTCAGTTCCAAATCCTATATAAATGTGAAACAATTCTTTTGAACGGAATCCTCGACACTTTGAAAATATGATGAAAATATCAGTTATGATAAAATAACCAATTTATAACTATTGGAATGCGTTTAGGTGTAAAAGAGTGCTCCAGACAACACAGTATATCTATTCAGCAGCCATGCTTCTCAGCACGTCCTTGCTTAATTGTGTTATGGAACGCTTGTATGACGTTGAGCTGCTGCCAAGCAAGCTGTGCAAAATTTGCACTCATACTCGGTTATGGCGCTTTTCTTAAGTTATTTGACTGCCAGTCGTATCTCCGTAATAACTATGGACCATGTTCAGCTTCTTACATTGTGTAGAAAAAATATTATCATTGGTCCTAAGCTCCACATGACCTTTGGGTGGCAGAATTTGAATAACTGTCCTATGGCGTCGTGCATACTTGAATGGCTTTGCCATGATCAGCATGAAATGGTCAGTACATTCTCGCGGGTGCGTAGCTCAGACACTACAGGATTTTAGGGCGTAAGAGAGGGGTTTGCACCCATCCGAATGATTTTCAAAATGGCCATTTCAGTTCAAAATCCCACACAAATTTAGACCACTCCTTTAAGTTTCAGCAACAAGAAGCACACTTCTTTAAAGTTGCGCGGCAGTGTTTTTAGGAAATCTTAAGGGAACTGCTTGCTTGGGAGGCTTATTTTGGCACCGTCACATCATAACCATAGCTTGATTTCGCTCTTGCTCCCGCGCTCGCACTCGCACTCGCTCTCGCTCTCGCTCTCTCGCTCGTTCTCGCCGGTGCACCTCTGACTCACACACTCATGGAAAGGCATCGATGAGATGTACCTATACGTTTTCTTAAAGGCGGCGGCTTTACTCCCTCGTTTCTGTGTCATTTGTATCATTTCACGGGTTGGGTTGACCACTCGGCAACTATATGGAAGGGGGGGGGGGGTACTCAAAAGGGAAAGTAAGCTTGATTGCAGACCCTCTGAAGCCCACCCATAATTTAGATCAATAACTGTGTAGCTCGAACAATGCAACCAGGTGGGTAAGGGGTGGGTAAAAGTGGATAAGACATTGGTTGCGGGCGGGTATGGACACAGTCGCATGGATAGAGGATAGGTTGGGTAAAGGAAGCCTGACCCGTAGAATCTTCCCATCTTCATGGCGATAACGATATTGTGTTATCGCCCCTCTCGCCCCACGTCGCAAAGGCCACCTGCTTGGTCACGTATTGCACTGTGGTTGCTGGTTTCTACCACAAGTTTCTCCTTTATCGTTAGGTAATGATCGTCATGAAATATCTTCTGAAGAATAATATCAATATCGGTATTTATACATAGCACCCAAACGCATGTTTCGCAAAAGCTTATAAGCAGCGAACCATCGTATTCAATTTTATCCCACATGTCATGGTTATGTCGTGTATCTATTCACTTTGTCACTCTGTCCTTCAACCGTCGTCGTCATCCCGCCCCCTTGATAGAGCGCCAGTGGCTGTATTGGTCGTATTAGCTCTCAGGGTCCATGGCGCAACCGGTATTCGAACCCGAGCTCCCCATGTGGGAGTCTAGAGCGCTAACCACTTCGCCGTTACGCTCCGATGTTCCTTGTGTAAGCTTTCATGCTTTTGTTTCGATCTGCAAGATTCCATGGATTTAGAAAAGACGAGTTTTGTGTATCTCGCCACCACTGTGTGTACGCTCAGCCTACGCGTGAAGACTAACGCCGTAAGGCCCACACTCAACAGTGTGAAGGAATCTCCAATCACCTCCATTCATTTTCGCCTTTTCTGACGCTTCCCACTGACCAATTCCTGCGGCATTTGTGGTTGCACGGTGGCGCCAGTGGGCCGGCGCCGGCGCCAGCGGACCGCGCAGGCCACGCGGCAAATGCGAGGCGCGGTGGGGTTGTTGGCCGAGCCACCTCTGCCCGGTTAGCCTCTCACACGCTGCATACGGCGACCGGCAGCGGCGCCAGCGGTGCGAATGGGGCGCCCTCCGCGCTGTGTGCACGCCAGAGGTATAAATCACGTGGTGCACAGAGGCGGATCGTACCGGCCCCGGTCGGTGACCGGTACGGTGACCCCGATTCGGCGCCCATGGACCGAAGCGAATGAGTGTAACGGGGATCCACTACAAGACATATGTCGCTAACTTTGTGTACCACATGAGCTCCTGCACACACCGGGTATAAAAAACGACCTGCATCAGGGCACCTGGGTGCCTAGTGCTCACATCTGAGAAGCCTGCTGTTAATGGTCCAGCAGCGGTGAAATAAGCGATGAGCTCGGCCCTATCCAGACCGAAGGTCAACAGCCCGGTGAGACATTTCGCGATGCATCACTCTAACAACGAGACGAGAAGCGTTAAGTGTTACGTCAACACAGCTGTAGAAAATTTGTGTTAAAAATTATGAACCACAGCTGCACCAGCTGCGGCGTGTACCAGTGCTGGCCCACATAAGCCTGTATTTTGCCCGGCGCTAAGCTGACCCCCCCCCCCCCCATCCCCCATGGCGACAGGTGCAGACGAACTGGCGACTGGACGAGCTCCTGACGTCCGGCGCGCAGCTCGGGGACGAGGCGCTGCCAGTGGTCATGCTGTTGGACGCCTTCGCCAGTCCGCAGGCGCACTCGCACTACCAGGAGCAGTTGTGGAGCCTGCTGACACACTGTCGTGCCCCTCTTAGCCTCCACCTGGCGGTGCCAAAGCCGTATGCGTTCGAGCTGGCGCGGCTGCTGGATGAGCTGCGCGCCGATGCGGGCTGCGATCTGCGCTACTCCATCGCGCGCTCCAGCGCCGGAGCGCAGCACGGCATGGACGGCGCCGACCGCGGCCGCCTGTTGCTGCGCCGGCTTGCCACGCTGGCGCCGCTCGGCCGCGTCGTGTTCCTTGACGAGCAGGTGCTGCCGGTCGCTGACCTGGGGCCGCTGCACGCTGAGCTCGCCGCGTTCGACGAGCACCAGCTGGCAGCGGCGTCGCCCGAGGACACGGCCCGCTTCGTGAGCGAGGCGGCGCTGCTGGCAGCCGCGCCGCGCCTGCCTGACTCGGGCCTTGGCGGCCGCCTGCTGCTGCTGGACCTGCAGCGGCTGGCCACCTCGCCCGAGGCCGGCCGGCTGCTAGCTGCGCCGCTGCCGCGGCTGGAGGACGCCGGCCTGGAAGCGGACGCCGGCGCCGCCGTCGGCGAGCTGCGCCGGCGCTGGCCGCACCTCGTCCGAACGCTGCCCTGCCAGTGGAGCGTCACCCGGTCGGGGACGCCGCGGCCGCTCGACACGCTCTTTACGTGTCGAGAGGTGGCGCGCGTCTACAGCATGGCCGATCGCCATGAACGCTCCTGGGAGAGAGGAGCCCTGCAGCGGCTGCAGGCCACCCAGAAAGGCCAGCAGCCGACCGGCCAGCCAGACTGATGGATGTGATACAGGGATGTGATGCAGGAATGTGACGGCCTAAGGGATGCGATGCAGGGAAGTGACGGCCTGAGGGATGCGATACAGGGATGTGACGGCCTAAGGGATGCGATGCAGCGATGTGACGGCATTAGAGATGTGATACAGGGATGTGATGCCCTGATGGATGTGATACAGGGATGTGACGGCCTAAGGGATGCGATGCAGGGATGTGACGATGCAGGGATGTGATGGCTGTGAGCTGTTACGTTGGCCGGGCCTGAGCTTTAAGACCAGTACGATAATGGAGCGGAAAATTCAGCTTAAAATACCTTCAATTCGACGAGATAAAGAAAAGTGAAAAAGGTCAAATCTTACCATTGTCGGAAAAACATATATTCTTGAAGCATTGCTACTACAAAGCTAGTTCACCTGTTCATGCCACTGTCAATGTGTGTTTCGTATGTTTGACACATGAAGCAAATCGAAGCTAAGTTTTTTGGCTTTGCATGGAGCAACAAGGGTCATACAATCAAACGCATATAGCTAGCAAAAAACCACGGGCGTGATCAGTTGAAATGATGGATACTAATGTTTTTTTTCTTAAGAACATGAGATTAGCATGGTTCAAACGCCTGCTGATGTTAATTTGAATGATGGCGATTTGAAAAAGATGAAGCCGATTGGACGTCTATACATAACTAACAACAACCCAGTGTGATTCGCGTGCTAACATATGAGGAAGAGAGACTGCTGGCTACTGGAAACAAGATACGAAAGCGATTTAAATAGTGTTCCATGTTTGTACGGAGTTTCGCACTGAAATAGCCATATTGAAGATCATTTGGTGCAGTTAACCACCCTGTCCTCCTAGCTGCGCATTTTACACATCAACTGCATGGTGAAAACCGACTATGGCTGAGAGCTTGTACCAAAATCCAGTGCTTATGACGAATATATTGGCGGGCCGGGTGCAAATGTTGTAACAAACCTCTCATATTTACATGTTATAGGCCAGCAGTTTTTGCCTTATTCCTCGTCGAATAACCAGGAGAAAGGAGCGATAGATGTATTTCCGTCGCCATAGTCAGAGTCATAAATGTGTCATGTCGGCTACGCCGGCTTAGCAGCTTCACTTGCTCCGGGGTGTCATATAGCATCCACCCTTCGGGCGCCTAACTCTACAGAATCTTGTGCCCTTCAGATACCGGCCGAAAGCATGAATTGAGAGGCAGATTGAGTGTGTTAACGACGTAGAGTTTGTCAAACATAACCAAAAGGTTACGACCACGATAATCGTTGTAGCGTTAATGTCACAGTTTAAGACGGCATGCAACATTCTCTTCAACAAGAGCTAATTTCAAAGTGAAATAAATATTTGCAGACCCAGTTATTGCATGGTTTAAACTAAACTAACTTAAGTTTCGCTACATTTCATGTCAGTTTGTTCGCAACTTTCCGAGCGTTAGTTAAAGCGGCTTTCGTGTGCCTTGAGTGTGCAGTGACACAGCGTTCAGATGCCCATCCTCAATGAGACGGGGATGAGCGTTCCAGTCGGTGCCCTCTGAAGGGAGACATCGTGAGAGCAACAATAACGCGGCAGCGCTTAGCAGCGATTGCTCGCCCCGCATGCAAACGGCCGATTTGTGGGCTTGGCCGAGTCAGGCGCAACCATGTGCAGGAACATCGACGGCAAGGGTCAGATACGACTGGCCCAGGGGCATTTCGGAGAGGTCGCCGAGCGAGGGTGCCTTTGGAAAACTGTCCCTCAATAAAAGTTAACTAGAATGACACAAAACTACACACTACCGAAGCCACAATGTTTCGCTGGAGCTTTTGGTGACAGCAAAGCACTTATTCACGCAAAAAAATAAAACCGCAATCACGCAGCCCATGGCCAAGCGTTCTCCCGTGGCCCTCGGAGCAACTTAAATGCTTTACATTGAATGCAAAAACAAAGACGATGGCTAACTAACAAATTACAAGAAAGCACGATTCGACACAGAATGAAGATATCGGTATATGATTCACGGGCAAATTACACACTTCTTAGCAATTTTGAAGTTGCAATGAATTTTACGTCGCCTTCAAAGGCAAATTAAGTTTTGAGAACACGTTAAGAACAGTAACTTCGTGATCCAAGGTCTGCTGATGGCTTTTTCGATAAGAACAGTGAGTTATGGCTCTATTGTTGATTTGCAAGCAATATTGTTCATCGTTAATTGTCGGGAATACAGAAATAATATTATTTCCATCCTTCATGCTGCAATGCGGTTTACCGATCAAAGTAATGTCTTGTCGATACAAATGTTATCTTATTTTGCTATCAACACTGAAGACGTTTTATTTATCATATTGTCACGCTATACTCGATGACTTACTGGCGTGTTGGGGGACGGGCGAAAAGCCTCCTTCTAATAATTGTTATAGCGCCCAGTTCGGGGCAAGAGATTACGGAAGGAGGGTCTAGTTTTAAATGATGGTGTGAATGATGATGTTGGATTCGAGCAGTGTACAGCACGGTGCACCCCTCATCAGTAGAAAAAGTCCAGTAAAGGCAGACGCACAATTACCAAGTCATCAGACCGTGATGCTCAGGGGACGTAACGGCGTGTTTGACAAAAAAGGGCGCCACTTTACGCACGTATAGGCCAAGTAGCCAATGATGGCCAGGGCCAAGTAGTGTAGAGTAGTCATGTAGGTCTGCCTCAGCGAACACTACACATTTTGTGCAGGACGTAGTCCATGAATTTCACTGAGATTCGTCTCAGTGTTGTCACTGAGTAGCGCTGCAAGCGGACTGTCAGGATCAGTTGCTGCTGTAACATTTGCAGCTAAATGATTCTTATTAGAGTCCCACATGTGCTCTGGCATGACATTAGTAGAGCAATCAAGCTTTCATAATTAAATGAGCGTAAGATGAGACCAGTTGCGCTAGGTTCAACATTACAATGACACCACACCTTCAACACGCTCGACATACAGTTTACAGACGAACGTGAGCAAGAGCAGACAACAGTGCTGCCACCTTGAAAAGCGGCAACCGAAGCGTTGCGCCACCAGGCGGTAGGTTTCTTAACCACTTGGCGTCCTTCCGTAGATGGGGAAGAACCGATCGACGTCGGCTTATTTCTTCATGAAATGCTGAAGAACATCGATTGGCAGTGGAAAGATTATTGTTGAATTCTTTTCGGCCGATATGGTGTTCAAGGTCTGCAGATAGCGAAGCTGAAAAAAAAAACAGAATAACACGTGTGGCGGACAGTAAATGGGCAAATCTGCTCGCTCAACAAGACGGCTTGTTCTCACGCTGCACACATTCAAAGTGCAGCACTGAGTATCAGAAAAAGTGTTGGCAATAAGAAGACATTCGGAAGGCATAGTTACACTCAGAAGCCTGCTTATTTTGCTGCAAGCGATTGGCTTCAGGGAGAGGCCACGATTACGTGTGACGTCTGCCAAGTTAAAATAGACACCCGAATGCCACCAACTTCGCCGGCGGCGGCCAGCGTCCGATCTTGCAGCCATTCAACCATCACCCACCTGCAAGGCGCTGGGACTCTCGTCGAGAACGTCGGCCGCCTCTCGGAGTGCGCGCGACGCTCTGTGCTCACCCTCGGCGGCAATAAACTTGGCACGCGCCACGCGGGCCGCCTCGGCCTCGGCGGCCATGGCGCGCTGCAGCTGCAGCGGCAGGCGCACGTCCTTGATCTCAACCCGCTCCACTTTGACGCCCCACGGGTCGGTAGCCTCGTCCAGCGTCGAGTGCATCTGGTGCGAGATGGCCTCGCGCTCGGCCAGCAGGTCGGCCAGCGACTTGGTGCCGAGGACGTTGCGGAGCGTGGTGGCGGCCAGCAGGCGGGTGGAGTGGCTGGAGGAGCAGGGGGCGCCCGTCAGTCGGGCGGCGGTGACTCGGCTGCCGTGCCGCACGACGCCGCACGGCCTGCACCAGCTCTCGCGGATCAACCAAGAAGCCAATAATATTCTGAGAGAAAATCGCTTGGCTTAGTTTATGGAGCTCTCGCCGGAGAATGCCTAAAATGGCGTTGCACTTAATTATCCGTGTTTTCTTGACCAATAGCCTATCTTTAATGAACAATATACGCATTGTTCATAGTTTCTTATTTACTGCTGCTTTGTTTCCCTTTTAATGCATCCAGCTCCTGTTTCCAGACGCACATTCAGTACCCACAGCTCCCAGAACGTTTAGTTATCGGCGCTGGGCAGCCTGTCACGTTTGCAAAGCTCGAGAACATGATGAGACGCTTGGGAATCCGGTACAAGATGACCCCTGCTGATCATCCAGCTTGAAATGACATGCTAGAGAACATGGTAAAAATTTAAAGTACTCCGTAAATCAATCCCAGCATTGCAATGTTCTGGTGAGACGCACTCCTCATACTATGGCAGGACACAAACCTTCGAAATTCTTCTAAAGCGAGCTCTAAGAACAAGACCGGGCGCCGTGAAACCAGACCCCAGAGAAAACAAAATGGTCGAGAGAGCGGTGCGGCTGGCCCCAGCCGCAGCCCCGACACGATGCCTCGCCGCGGGAGATAGTGCGTTTTTCGGAGGTCCAAGAACCAAAGCAGCCAGGACTTGGGTGCCAGTGACCATAGGTGAGTGGCTGGGGCCAGTCGGGTACACAGTGGATGCAGGAGGACATAGGCACAAGACACACATTGACCACCTAGTGAGTGTCGCAAATCCAAGCTGTGAGGTCGAAGCCCGTTTGTAGTGTGAAGGGACGAGGACAAAAGGGAACAGGAGTACAAAGACTATCACCTGTATCCCAGGTTCTAATCAATGTTGTTACGAACGTAATTGGGTTGAAGATTTCCTGCGTCATCCCGTGAGGGTGAGAGGTAATGTTGTGTATTTGATCAAATGTAGCAGTAGCGTGAGCAGGAGTGGTGTGCGGCACGTCATAAGAGATCGTTGCAGAGAAAAGAGTCTCGCGCGGCCGTCTAAGTCCAGCATGCTATCGATGTACGTGGCCCACGTTAGCTACTCAGACATTAAACGGTTCCTTTATTGCTAAAAGGCACCGCAAGTCCAGGTACCCTGCCCAGGACATCCCAGGGTCCAAGGACATGTCGCATGGCACGTGTGCAGTCGCCGGCTCGTAAATCGCCTGACGCCATCGCTCTGTCAGTAGTCCCGCCCGGCCTGCAGTCCGTGCGTCAGCCGGTGCCATCTGTCATCCCCTGGCACCGGCCCGGCGGCGCCGACCTCCCGCAGCGCCGGGCCGAATGGCCCGCTGACCTGCCCCCGGGAGACGCTGCCGACGCTGCCGACTCACCGTGACCCGGGCCGGTCCAGTCCGCTGGTGGCTGAGGACGGAGCGCCAGGCGCCCGGGATGGCGGCGCGGTGCTGTGTTGGCCGGAGCACGTGGGATCGGAGAGAGAGAGAGAGAGAGAGAGAGGGAGAGACCAGGGCCCAGGTAGAATAGGGTTGGTGCGTATGCGTGCTCTGCCTTCACTCAATTGAGATGAATCCAAACCAGACCTCTGAAACTGTTGAATGGAAGGCAATCGCGGCAGCTTTCACTTCCTGCAACAGTTGCATTCACCCAACTATCTACGCCACGCGACAGGCAATGGCCTTTTCAGGTCATGCTTGTATAGACGCTTATCGGTGCAGCAAGCGAGCTTGTATAGAAGCTCATCGGTGCAGCAAGCGAGCTTCCGAGCGGCTCACCATGAATGCAGGGCGGTGAACGTTAGACGCACCCTGTCCTACAATACCGCATGCCCAATCCTCACTCTCCCCCTTCCTCACTGTACCCCTCTCCCCTCCTCTCTCTCTCTCTCTCTCTCTCTCTCGAATCAATGTTGTCAGCCGGAACCCCCAGATGATTACTTCGCGCCGCAACACAAGTGCGCCACTTCCAGTCAAATTACCAGGACCGAGCCGGCGCATCGATCACGAATCTGGCGCACCGGTGGTGGTGTTGCAGCCTGCGCAAGACCGTCGGATAGGTAGAGCACCGCAACGCGATCGAGCGCACCCGGACTGAAAATTAGCCAACTAGGGAACGTGGGGGGAACGAATCATCTGCGGTGTGTCGGCCACCGTAGCTTTAAGTTCATGAGTTCATCAGGTGTGAGGTCAACAGTGCGCAGCCGGGCTCACCTGTAATGGTCGATGCAGGTGACCGCCATCACGGGGTCGATGACCCGGAAGTAGATGACGGCGGCCACGGACACCGTGACGCTGTCCTTGCTGAGAATCTGAGAAATGGCACATTTAACAGCGCAGTCCGGCGGTCTGGAGTTGGGACAAGGCCGTGGCCGATTTACACAGACATTTCATAAAGATTACTCAAAACGGAGCATTTTAGTTGCCTCTGCAAACTGCTCACGGTTATAAAGGCAGCTAACGCGAGACCGTGCGTCCTTTTCTACGCAAGACTGGTGAAAAGTCACGGTACTCTGTTTGACAACCCTCAGCTCACCACCCGATGCATGGCAGCACTGTCGCAGCACTGCACTGAGTTGCAGGGAGCTTAAGCTCACAGCGCACAGTCATGGGGTGAAGCCTTCCAGTGCACGCCCTGCAATGGCGCTCCTATTTCCGGGTGCTGACGGGTCTCATTCGAAATATATGACACTGGAGTCACGACCCAGCCAGGCACCTCGCCATCAAAACACTCACAGCTGGAACTGATCGCGGAATCAACAGACTTGTCATCTCTGCGGCGTTCGGAAACGACGCCATGCTTCACGCTGTACGTCGCAGGGAAATGTCACGTCAGACAGGACGTGTTGCGAATTTGTCAAAAGGTCTTGATTTCCGATCGGTAACGTGGTGCTCTTCCCGGCGCTGAATTCGAGTATCACCGTAAAAGGGACGAAATATGACAGTTTGTCCACAAGGCATGGTTCGATTTTTTGTTTTACGCCAGCGATTATGAACATTTTGGGATATAACTACAACAGCAATACAATAATAGCCAAAGCTCCGTTTTTCGACAGGTGGCGGTACTGCTTCAGCGCCGTACGATGATGGCCGCGATGGAGCCGTTTCTTACGGCCAGCAACAGAAAACACGTGGTTTAAAGATTGAAGAAGCATGTTAGCAGCCCTGGGTGTATCCCGTTCCTAGCGGTTCATCCACTGCTGACCATATAACCCTGGCTCGCGATGTACTTTGGCATTCATGTCCGTTATTTACATAACATTTGTGTGCAAGCATCATGTATATGCAATGGAAATTATACCCAAGATCGCATATTTAATTGGTTGCATTCATCACCTCTTCCACTGCAGCAGTTGCACAGTGAGCCGACGCCCGTGGCATGCAGCAGTTGTACAGCGAGCCGACGCCCGTGATATGCAGCGGTTGCACAGCGAGCCGATGCCCGTGATGTGCAGCGGTTGCACAGCGAGCCGACGCCCGTGATATGCAGCAGTTGTACAGCTAGCCGACGCGCGAGATTATCACCATGGTGATCAGTTACAACACTAGGCACACCCGTACCAACACTGACTTTGAAGCTTTCCACCAGCCCTCGCGCAGGTCAATAGCTTAAATTTGAAATCGCCCAGAAACTAGACCATACCGTCTTTTCGCTGGGGGGGGGGGGGGGCGGGCAAACCTGAGCAACCACGCGTGATTTTTCGGTCATGGCGGGTCAAGGCCGTCTTGACCTGGTCGAGGTAGCGCTGTCCGAATGCTGTCCTGATGAAACTGGGGCCATGGGACCGGTCAGCACCAATACCGACCCCTGCTGCCTTTACTGTGAGCTTCAGGACGTGCTCTTCATGCTGGGTGTGTCTTACGTAGCCGTCTTCAGAGTCCCATGATGGAATTCCTGGACTTCGTTATCATCCTAAAACTTACGTGGGGTGCATCACCCGTGTGGCCTTCCAATGCAGCGTGCCTAAGATCCAACATCCATGTGCATGTGCTGGAGCTGTGTTTTTGGATCGGGCGTTGGCAGCGCAGGCGGGCGGTCCTCACCAGAGCGCCGGCCTCAGCGCTGTCGCGCTCATCCCCTCGCGCATCATGGTCAGCGTAGCTCTTTCCTAAAGCGCCATACATGCGATTCTGCCCAGACTGTCCCGCACCATGCTCAGGGCTTTGTCAGTCGGTGCTTGATGTCGTCACCTCACCTGGTCACGGGTGTTGCGAGACGTCAAAGGTCACTCTTCACAGCGATTATGACGGACACGCGCACACGGGCGACGTGGCGTGCCGGTGTGGTCGGCTCGGCACTGGCGCACGGGTCGGCCATGCGGTAGTGCAACTGCCTCTTCCCCCTCACTCAGATTCGTGACGGCACCAGCCTTGTACTAGTGATACCAGTGGCTGCTTGTACCAGCGTACCTGGATCAGATTTGCGCGCACTCTCCGTGCGGCGCCGGCCAGCAGCCACTGACAGGAATGGCTGGTCTCTGCCACCAGGCTGAGCTCGCCCGGCAGGGCGACTTTCTGGACTTCGCTCAAGTGTACACACACACACACACACACACACACACACACACACACACACACACACACACACACACACACACACACACACACACACACACACATATATATATATACATATATATATATATATATATATATATATATTTATATTTGTATATGTATATATATGCATGTATATGTATATATATATATATATATATATATATATATATATACATACATACAGACACATATATTTATACATATATATATATATATATATATATATATATATATATATATATATACGGTCAAATTCTACCCATGGCCATCTGATGCGACAATGTGATGCGACAACAGTGTTTGACAAAACCGTACATTTCTGAGACAGTTTATTAGCCAAGTCAAGCTAGGATCACGGCTGGCTTCATTGACCTTGTGTCATGTTTGAGGTCAGAACGAGGTAAAAGCCAAACTAGTTTTCACTACAGAAATTGTTCTATGAGATAGTTGCTTTACGCTCATTTTGAATGCATTGATCAGAGGGACTTCAAGAGAAATATTATTTTAACACTAATTGAAAATCAAGGGGGTCACTAGCTTTTGATGAACCGATCAATTTTTTGTTTGAAGGGCATACTGCTTAACGTAATCCGCCATGCTTATCTTAATAAAAAGTTCGCACGTTTTTGTCAATGGTGACCTTTTAAAGATAAACACGATCACTGACTTTAAAAGAACACCAGTGACCTTTTGCTCAGAACAGGTGCATGTGGTAAAGGCGGTTCCATGAGGAGGTTTGGAGATTTGGTCCTGTTCGACTTTGCCTGACCCAAAGGTCATGACCTACATATCTCAAATTTTACAAAAGCATGTTCGCACGAAGGGGTATCCGTCCTGAGGATCTGGTGTCTTTAGATCTCTTAGTATCTGATATCTCAGAAGGTCAATTCCCCTCCCCCCCCCCCGCCAGAGCTCGTCGCATTTAGAGGAACTGTTTTTCATTTGAAGATTATATTGAGGCCAACGTCAGATATGATGAAATAAGCTAACTTGCAACTATAGTATTTGTCTACTTTTAAGGCTAGACGACTGCTCTAGACAACACAATTTAACTATTTGATAAACATACTCCCAATTGTCAATCCAACCAGACTGGCCTTCTCAGAGTCGCCACTGCAGCTGACAGGCTAACTCGCACAGTACTTAAACTTGCCGAGAGGTGGTGGGATTTGCTGGAGTGTCTGTTGAGCGCCGAATACCGTTAGGTGTTCGTGTTTTGCCCCTTTCTCGTGATATTGTTTGCATATTTGTTGTCATTTGGTGTAAATTTTTGTATCGAACATTTTCATGCTTAGTTGTGACGCTATTCGTAGGCAATTCGACTTCCAGTCGTAGTTCGGTCATAACTCGTGCCGCTGCTCAGGCTCCCTCATTATGCAGGACAAAATGTGATTCACGTTCGACACACACAACGCATTACTTCAGTTGACGCACTACTGATGTCCATTGATGCCAGATTCATCGAGTCGCGCTGACGTACGCCACATACGAATAATTCGATAATTATATTTCTCCTGACTTTAAGTACTGCATGGTTAACGAGGTTACAGTATTCCCGCAACGTTGATATGGCATCGTTCATGTCTGGGTGACCTCGTAACAGTCTGCTCTAAATAGTCTGCAGAAGTTCGCCGGCGCCAGGCCCAGAAAGGAGAGCGTTTTTGTGGCTTAAAGGGCTGCTTTTTGTGGCTGCGACCTGTACTGAATGGTCTTCAAAATGGCTATCACAGCTCAAAACCCCATACAAATGTGACCACTCTCTTAAACTGGCTACCCCTGCACGTGCTGAATAGCGGTGTGGGACCGAAGCCCTCCTCTCCATGTCATCCAAGAGAAGCACATCCCAGGACCGGTGCGTATAGGACGCGCCTCGGGTTACGGCCCCGCGGCCACCCGGGGCGACCGACCCTCTCTCAGCCGACGAGGCGGAGAGAAATGTCAGCCAAACCTGTCGCGTAACCCGATGCCGTTCCAGCGCCGCGACAAAGGTGGCCGGTCGCGCGGCCACGCGGTCGTTACGAGATGCGTGACCGTGGCTATTATGCAACATGATGGTCTCCATGTGGGCGCCTCACGCGCCAACCCGCGTGCATCCTGAATAATCAGAAAGCAACTCTCCCACCACTGTCTCCCAGGGACACGTCGCAGTCATGCGCGTGTCCTGCGCGTCAGTCATGCGCGACTGGGGACGTCCGAACCAGTGTAAATTGCGAACCTGTCCGATGTAATACAACCAGAGTCTTCTCCTCCGCCTTTGACGCAACATCTCCAGGAACCCCGACTACAATGCCAATAGATCTTAGTTTTTGCGATCAAACTGATCTCCAACGGCAACTACCGTTCCAAGCTGCACTTAAGCCATCATAGAGTTGTTATTAAAGCTGTATCCGCGAATGTCTAAAAACCTCTAAATTGAAAGTTTTCATGCGCGTCGTGCAGCCAGATGTTTGAAAACCTTGGACATGTACGGAGGGCATTCGAAGTCAGCGCTGACAATGCTACCAGAAACTCATCGGAAATCAGGACGTTCCGACAAACGTAGCCAAACGGGTTGACGTAATAATGCATTAACAGCATCGGGAAGGCACAAGCAGCTTCTCACGCACGTACCTCCTGAGGTGGAACGTCGTACGAAACGGTACGTAGGTCCACGTTCCTGAAGGTGTCAATGCACGGGGCCACGAAGAAGATGCCGGGTCCCTTGGCGCCGCCTTGCAGGAGTCGACCCAGCCGAAAGATCACAGCCCGCTCGTACTCCTGCACCACCTGGCGAACGGACCGGCCAAAGCGCCTACGTCAGTGGTACACCATCGGGGGTGTCACGACCGGTGGTGGTCCATCGCCGGAGGCGTCACGACCGTCGGCGGTCGATCACTGTAGGTGTCACGACAGTCAGTGGTACACCATCGGAGGTGTCATGATCATCGATGGTCCACCAATGGAGGTGTCACGACCGTCGGCGGTCCACCATCAGAGGTGTCACGACCATCGGTGGTCCACCATCGGAGGTGTCACGACCATCGGTGGTCCACCATCGGAGGTGTCACGAACGTCGGTTGTCCATCACCAAAGGTGTCACGACCGTCGATGGTCCATCACCGAAAGTGTCAAGGCCGGCAGTGGTCCACCTTCGGAGGTGTCACGACCGTCAGTGGTCGATTGCCGGAGGTGTCACGACCATCAGTGGTCCATCATCGGAGATGTCACGACCGTCGGTGGTCTATCATCGGAAATGTCACGACGGTCAGTGGTCCATCACCGGAGGTGTCACGACCGTCAGTGGTCGATTGCCGGAGGTGTCACGACCATCAGTGGTCCATCATCGGAGGTGTCACGACCGTCTGTGGTCAATCACCGCAGGTGTCACGACCGTCAGTAGTACGTCATCGGAGGTGTCACGACCGTCAGTAATCCATCACGGAGGTGTCACGACAGTCACTGGTACAACTTCTGTAGTACCACGGCCATAATTGGCATAAGAATGTCAGTGAGGTCACTAGAGCTGACAACTTTTTGCCATTTGAGAACCCGCCTCGCCCCATGGCCCAAATCAGAAACACAATTTGATATATATTCATCGTCAAGTTTATTTTCACACTTCATTTGGATGTTGTTCATGCTCAAATTCACAATGCATTTCAAGGGACGTAGGTCCGGCAAACATTGAGAATCCTCAGCCAGCATCGGAAAGTATCCCCGAGCGGTCTTGTGGATGTCCTAGTAGCATCGTGCTACTATGTGTAATATTGTTATCCTACCGATGCGAGGAAGTTTCATTATGCGGGCGGCTAAGCGGGCTTTTCCGGAAAATTCCCTCTGCGGGGTGGCGATGTTTCCGAATATGAGCTGAGAGACGAGGCGGGTTTTCAAATAGCAAAAAGTTGTCAACTCTGGTGACCTCACTGACATTAACTTTGGTAAATATTGGGGAGAGGGGTTCCTTAGTTTGATGAAAATCTGTGCACAGAATATTTTTCCTCTCTCCAGAAAATTGCCGAGGTGAGGAGAGCCGTTTCCTGTGATGACATCCGATGACAGAGGGGACGTGTCCTCGTCCCCCTTCTTGGCGCCTGAAGGACTCCTGCCTGAAGGACTTTTGGATTAGTGGGTTCCGTTGCTGGCTCACCTTGACACAGAAGCATAGCGAGAAGGGCAGTGTGCATATGATGAGGAGAAAAGAGAAGAGTGTCAGGACGTACGAGCAGCATCCGGGTCCTTCCGGGTCGGCTGAAATCAAGGATGGCGTCAGAGTTAGCTCCAGATTCAGGATCGCTAGAATTTCAGCAGCCTGTACGGTAAACTCCGCGCGATCGGCACCACGGCCACCTAGGGGCAAGGCCAAAGCCGTTTCTGTCCAACACGTGGTGAAATTTTATGAAGTGTGTGGCTTGTGGCCACTGGTCCACTGATCCACCAGATGCCCACTGGCATAATCTGGCACGTTGCGAACGCTGGTCAAGGTCGAGTTGTGCCGCACGGTCTGCAGCTGATGGCCAAGTTGTTGATCTGGCCGGTCTATAGCGGCACCTGTTGACCAGGAGGCGATGCCACCCATGTTCTGCTCCGTCGAGACAGCGCGAGCGCGCCGACGCCAATGATGTATACGGATGCGAACGTGAGGAATCAATAGTACCAACGGTGGGGGGGGGGGGGCATGGTCCAGTGACAACCGAATTATCCCGGGAGCGTCTGCAGGAGACAGCGATGACGTGTACACCAGACTGGGATGGAATGTTCCTACAACAAAATTTTTCAATTTTCAAAAAGCAATACAGCAATTTTCTACAATTTTTTTTGTCAACAAACGGCAAGCCCACTGAGTCAAGTCAGGCATCCAAGCTCAAACTGACATTCGTTTGCAACCCAACGCACGTATTCACGTTTGCGCACATTGGCAACTGAAATGTAGTGCGCGCACTTTGAGCCGTCACCCAGCGACAAGCAGGCCCCGGACCACCTAGCACGGGACAGATGCTCACGCCACCTGGACGTGTCCGCTGTAGATAACGATTGCATGACCTGTGCCGTGTTTCCAATCCGCCTGTAACAGTACATTAACGTAGTTCTGGGCAGGGGGTGTAGCTCTAAAATGAGTTTGGGGAAAAAGAAACTACACCCCTGGTTCTGAGGAAGCTTCATCTTGCCTTCAGCAAGACAAGAGCTTTCATAGCCTGGCCCGCGACCGATCAGTCGATCCCAGACCCTGTCACGGTTTTGCTAAGGGGTCCTCTGTTTTAGCGATGCACACTGATCACCGCCCATTGCATTTACTGTGCACACTGCTGCGTCTTCCTGTGTGCTGTGGAAATACACGAAATATGTGAACGGATGTTTTCCTTAAATTTAGATCCCTTGCTTTGCGCCAGACAGCATCAGCCGACCGAGGTAAATATTTTGTGCCGGATTCCCACGTAACCGGCTTAACTCTCCCACCTCCAGGCAGTTTCGGAAGATCGCCAGGGGAGAGAAAAGAGGCTTCAAATTGGCACACAAAAAAGTTCCGGGACCTGGCTGGCACCCATCTCACTCGGCCCCGAAGGACGTGGCCAAGTGAAACAGGGCAGCGGTAACGAACCGCATGACAAACGACTGCTTTTCAGTCGCTCTCAATCACACTGGCCAGGCTCCCGGCCTTTGGAAAGGCTGTAGCAGGCCCCAATAGTTTTCGGTCCTGGTATCGGGTCTTCTACCGACAGTGGGTGCATAGCTCAATTAACAAAGCTAAGAGGCCCGGAGGCGGCGAATTATGTCAGACCAAATACTTTTCCAATGCTGGAACCTTTCCTCCACATGCCCACGCTTAAGAAAAAGCTTCTCTCTTAGACTTCAAGCTGTCATCAGGCTCATAAGTCATCATGGCAAAGGACCGATGCCCGCCGGCGGCGCTAGCCGGGCCACGGGCATCTCTGCATCAAATGTGGTGATCCCACTTGAGACCAAGTGCGAGTTTTATTCACAGACCAACGGCGGTGCCATGCGTTTTTGGCGTTTGTGCTTGTCAGCCACCTGAAATTGTACCATTATGGGCAAATTATTTCGGTTTGTGAGTGAACTGCATCAATGGTGCATACATTTTATTGATCAACAGAAATATAGGTTCGTTGTCATTTATGGAGGCACCGCGGATCTGTGCATCTTCTCACCACTGATCTCGACTCTGGATCCGCCAAGCCATCCTAGGGATCCCGACTACCGCGAGGTAGGACCCCGGGTGGGTGGGGCTTCAACGTCCTGTCAGACTTTTATTGGATTAATAGGACAAAAAAGCAAAGGTTTGATAAGTTCTAAAATTTGTTTAAGGACTTGAATGCAGACTTAATCAAATCGGCTGATTTGTTTGGGGAAGTCCTTTTTTAGACCAGCGTGGTCAACGGCGTGATGTCGTAATTACTACGAAAGCAAGGTCTCGTGAAGTGAAATATCCAGATGTGAAACAAATTGACATTTTATTGGAGGCTTGTCAATACGCAGAGATATGCATCGTTTTCAAATATGCCAAAACTAGTCTAAAGTTTGTCGAAATCGTGCCTTCACTCAGGCACCAAGAAAATGCATGACAGGAATTCAAGTGCAAACAAACATCGCAAAATAATGGGATCACAAAAAATTGTGAAGGCCTCAAACCAATGCTCTGCAGATGTATGGCAATATCCATTGATCAAAAAGAATTCATAAAGGTAACACACAGCATCGAGACCCTCCACATTCTTTGATGTTATAAATGGTCACGAGAGTTGCTCGTATCTGCTCGCCCAGCTACCAAGTGTGATTGGAAGTCTCGCGCGCCATTCGCAGTGGTGATGAGTGGTGACCCGCCGCGGCGGACCGCTCTGAGTGAGGTGACGGTCGGACGCAGCCACGCACGTCACGTCACGTCACGTCACGTCACGTCACGTCACATCACGTCCCGTCACGTCACGTCGCGTCACGGCAGATGTTGTGTTCTACCATTTAGACTGTTAAACGAGAACGGTGGCGATATGATCTCGTACTGTATACGAGATCATATCGCCCTTCCCATGTTCGGCTAACTTTCTGTATTCCTCCCCCCCCCCCCCCCATTTGAGACACGCAAATCAGCATTGCACAGAGCAAGTTGCCAGATGCGGTATGTAACCGTCCTGGGTCGAGATCATTTTTTACGTTTGCAGGTGTGGGAGTATTATGCATTGTACTCCTCGTCATGCTGCTAAATTTGTCATAACAAATATAAGCGCAAAATTAGTGTGATGGCCTCATCAAACAAGATTAAAAATCAGGTTACGAAAAACTGAGATTGAGACGACTTGGTATACAGAAGAAATGGCGCAGCTGTTGCTAAGATGAAGCTTTGAAGCTAAGGCTCGTTGTCTGCGTGAGCACAAACGCCGGCTGGGCAAAGTAGTTTGCCTTCCACGTCCCACATGCCGCACAAAATTTGCTTCTGAGGAATACTCATCGGTGCCGTTTCTCGAGCAAACAAGTCGAAGTGGCGTGTCTCTGAGTGTCTTGTGATGGCAGCACACCATTTCTGAGCCCGTCTTCGTCGCAACATCATCGACGAACTCTGACAAATGCCGAGGGAAAGCCGATCGAATCGGGGTAGTCAGATCTCCCAATCATGGCCCAGCTCTAGCCAGTCTGAAGCTCTACTGAGGGAAAGAGGCTCTGGCTCTGCTACTTGATTTGAGTCTGTCCAAGGCACAACTTATTTCCCTCTAGCAGTCAGCCAAGCAAAAACAAGGAGGCTACAAGCCCCGTGCAAGAACGTCAAGAAGGAGCAGGCTGCGGCCGGGTTAGGGTGTTCGAGGTTGTTTCCCATCCTGTTTACCACCTTGAGCGCTGCAAGAGGCGGGTCAGTGCTGACAACCAACGAAGGTTCAGCACGCCAAACAGGAAATCCAGAAAAAAAATCCTTTCCGACTGAGACGGTGTCCCTAACCCAGTGGCACCATGTGAAAGAATGCCGCAGAGTCTGCCAGTCTGGCATCAAGCGAGCTCGCGGGTTCAGACTGCGTCATACGAGGAAGGGCAGTCGGCTTCTCATGCATCACCAGCCATCAGCCTTACCAGCCAGCTACATTTACCTAAAAAACCGTCTTTTTGTTGGGTGCAGCAAGTCATGTCACAGAAATAATGTGTCTACATAATGCAATAATGTAAATGAAATAATATATATATATATATATATATATATATATATATATATATATATATATGTGTGTGTGTGTGTGTGTGTGTGTGTGTGTGTGTGTGTGTTTGTGTGTGCGTGTGCGTGTGGTGTGTGTGTGTGTGTGTGTGTGTGTGTGTGTGTGTGTGTGTGTGTGTGTGTGTGTGTGTGTGTGTGTGTGTGTGTGTGTGTGTGTGTGTGTGTGTGTGTGTGTGTGTGTGTGTGTGTGTGTGTGTGTGTGTGTGTGTGTGTGTGTGTATACATGGGAAGTAAAAACTTAATGGCAAGGACAGCAATCACAATCATTGATGTAGTAATGAACGTTTCGATGCCTTGCGTAGCATGAGCAGGTCGAGTAAAACGGTAAAAGTTTAATCAAAATGTAATGAAATAATAAAATATTTAACCAACATCACTAGACGCGACAACGGCCACAGCTGACACAATTTCACAGTGTCCCTCTGCGTATAAACAGGACAGTTTGAATGATAGCAGAAATATCATGACGAAATGTCCTTCTAACTCCGTAAGAAAAAGGCTACCTTAACAAGTGCTCGGATTGGGGCTCAAATCGACCCCCCCCCCCCCTCCCGGAAGGCCTTCCTGGATTGATTTCCGAACGGCCCGGCGTATCCGCGCAAATTTTGCATAGCCTTAGACAATTGAATAACGGATCGTTTGGTATAAACAATTAGATGCATCTTGCAAGGCTGCTAACCTATGGCGGGCCAAAGCAAGGCCATGGTTTCAGCGAAGTCAGTTTCTACTGAATCGTTCAATCTGATGCAACAGCGGAGTGTTAGACGAGGCCATACATCTCTGAGATACTTTCTTAGGCAACACAACAGTTGAATGGACAATTTACATTGATTAAGGTCAGGCATGAAAGCCAACCAATGTCAAAAATAACCTGCTCTATTACTCTAGGGCGTGCTGTACATAGCAGTTTCTAGTGCTCATTTCGAATTTATTGATAGCATAACCCGCATTAGACATCTTCCATGGACTTCTTAAACGTCAGAATAGGTCACTGACATAAAATGTCCCAGGTCAACGTTTTGTTTTTAGGACCATACTG